CCCACACTGCACTGTTCCCCACTGACCTCTCCTCCCCCCAGACTCCTCACAGCCCCCCCCCTTCCAGAGTACCTCCTGATACTCTGGCATATCTGATAATCCGGCACCCCCTGGGTCCCAAAGGAGCCAGATTATCGGAAGTTTACTGTACTCTGTAAGAGCAAAGCAAAAAAGAACAAAACTTCTGTGATTGGTGCAGTAGTAGTTAAAATGCACAATGGCCTCCTTGTTCTGTTTTCTGCCCACTGAGACATATTCATTACAGCCAGTTGAAAAACTATGTCTAAATCATTTTTAATCACCTTCCCAATAAGTTGCATTCAGTGTCACCATGACCCATAAATGTTGCCATTTTGGAAGAACACAACTGTCTGAGGCTGCTTTCCAGACTAATGATGTAATGCTTAAGATTTAGTACAAAACTTCTGAATGCAGACAAAAAGCACAAATCAACTGGGCATTACTCCTGGGTACGATGGAGTGGACAGCACTCAGTAAAAGCTCTTCTTGATGTAGGCTGGAATTATTAAAAGGTATTCTGTCAATTTACATTGAACAAAGCCATTTTTATAGGCCTGTTGGATTCCCAGCTGCTATTATCACAATAACAATACTCAAAGAAAGTTTTTTTTTCCCATCCTCATATAGCTAGGAGAGTCCAACTGGTTTTCAGGGGTGGACTTTGCTAGACAAGTGCAATGCACTCTACCTAGTCAGCCTAGGAACTGACGCTAATGCAAAAAATATCAGCTACCTTAGTAAGGGGCTATTGTCACTGGCAGTACATGACGCCAATGCAGTGGGACCTACAGTGACTGCATATTGGTTTCTGGGTAGAACTTAATATTGTTTAGAGCGGGAGGTACTTCATGCTGGAGCCCTCTTTATGCAGAAAAGAAAGATCAACTCTGAACCTTGCCCACTCTAGTGCTATTTGGTTTGAAATTGCTGACCGCTAGAATAGGCTGCCAAAGCCAACCTATTTACCTAAGCTATGGGGTGGGAACAGCATGGCACAGTAATGGCTGGGGTAGGTACAGAACAGGATGCTGGTTGGGCTTCATTCATTGTGGTAGGTAACATTTTGGCTTCAGGCTGAGGAGCAGCTGCTGAATATGTGTTTTATTTTTAATTGTAACCCTTTGGAGAGGCTACTAGAACCCTAATCTGACCCTTGGGTTCTGTATTACATAAATTGAGGCTGGTTTTGCTACAATCTTTTTTCAAAAAAAAAATGTTTTCTACAAATATATCAATAAGCACATTTGTTAATACACATGTGGCAACCAGAAGAGCCTCACAGGAAGTTTCATGTGAGAACTAGGAGTGATGTTTCTTGGTTAATGACCAATTATTCAACTAAATAAAAAAAACTAGCATGATTTGCACCAAATGAATCCTAAGTTTGCAGCCAGAAAAGCATTCCTCCTGAGCCCTGTAAACAAGTATTTTAATGATTACACAGTAGAAAACACAAATGCAATTATGCTTTAATGGCAGCTCACTTATTCCCAGGTCTCTGGCTCCTGCCAGGGTGAAAGGATAAAAGACAGCAAGAACGTCTCCTTGTTGGAAAGAATTCATTTTATAGAATTTTGTTATATTTACTGCTTCTTCTCTTATCTATTATACCTGGTCCCTCTGCATCTCATTGACTTTCAACTGCTCCCCTGGCAGTGGGGAAGAGCTTATTCCGAAGGCTGAACCAGCACAAAAATTGAAATGAGCTTCACTCCACACGTGGAAAAATGTGCGTCTTCTGTCCTAAATCTTAATGAAGCTTTAACATCAACACAAACTTAGAAAAGTAGGTTTTTATTTAAAAAATTGATCTAAGCAAGTCATTTTCTAGTCTTCCTTCAATGTGACTGTAGATCTTTATATTTGAGGAAAGGCTGTTCCTTTCCCAGGTCCACCTCTCCTGTTTAAGCCAGCCTTGAAATCAAAAGCATGTTTGTAACTTCACTATATTTTGCAATTTAAGTATTGTGATCACAGAAAACAGAAGGAAACTATGTGCAGAAGAAGATGAGGTCCTCGCTTAACTCTAAAGCACTTTGTTAATCAACAGTCAAAAGAAGTAATAAGATATGTGGTATGTTTTAATTTTCCCTATGATGAAAGCTCAAAACAAACTGCATACAGAAATATGTTTTACCTGCAAATCCTGAACATAGGACAGCAACAGCTATAGCGCCAAACCCTAACCATGGATTCTGCTCCATCTGCAATATGAATCATAAAACAAAACAGGTCATAGATTAGTTTTAGTACTAAACTAATTTATAGTAATTATTTCCAGAAACTAGGCTATTGAATTTGCTTTGTCAAGTATATTTTCCTAATCTTAGATGTACTGAAACACACAAGTCAAATTACCAAGCAAAACCACCAACACTATCTCTCAGCTTTTCTGTCACATGAAGTTTCTCTATTTCCTTGTCTAATCTTGCAATAACTTTTTACACTCTTACAGCTCATCTCGAGATCTTAAAGTATCTTACAAAGAGCAACCCTTAACTCCCTTGTGAGGAAGCATTAATTGTAAGCAGAGTGTTGTTGTATTTCACTATACTAGAATCAATTATGGCCAGTCTTTTAGTTTCCATGCCTACAGGATGGCACGTAAGGAAGTGACCTTTTCAGAAGGGCTGAGCACCTACAATGATCATGGCAAAGGAAGGCACATCTACCTAACGTACGGATATAAGTCACTCACACACACAACTTGAAAGATGGTGGCGAAGTGGCTTGCCCAAAGTCACACAAGACAAGACAAATATAGTGCCCATTTATAAAAAGGGAAATAAGAACAACCCAGGAAACTACAGACCAGTTAGTTTAACTTCTGTGCCAGGGAAGATAATGGAGCAACTAATGAAGGAAATAATCTGTAAACACTTGGAATGTGGCAAGGTGATAGGGAACAGCCAGCATGGATTTGTAAAGAACAAATCATGTCAAATCGATCTGATAGCTTTCTTTGATAGGATAACAAGTCTTGTGGATAAGGGAGAAGCAGTGGATGTGGTATACCTAGACTTTAGTAAGGCATTTGATACGGTCTCGCATGATATGCTTATCAATAAACTAGGTAAATACAACTTAGATGGGGCTACTATAAGGTGGTTGCATAACTGGCTGGATAACCATACTCAGAGAGTAGTTATTAATGGTTCACAATCCTGCTGGAAAGGTATAACAAATGGGGTTCCACAGAGGTCCGTTTTGGGACCGGCTCTGTTCAATATCTTCATCAACGATTTAGATATTGGTATAGAAAGTACGCTTATTAAGTTTGCAGATGATACCAAGCTGAGAGGGGTTGCGACTAATCTGGAGGATAGGGTCATAATTCAAAATGACCTGGACAAATTGGAGAAATGATCTGAGGTAAATAGGATGAAGTTTAGTAAAGACAAATGCAAAGTGCTCCACTTAGGAAGGAACAATCAGTTTCATACATACAGAATGGGAAGCGACTGTCTGGGAAGGAGTATGGCAGAAAGGGATCTAGGGGTTATAGTGGACCACAAGCTGAATATGAGTCAGCAGTGTGATGCTGTTG